TTGTTTTTTTTTTTTTTTTTTGGTGGTTGAAGCTAGACCTTTGACCCATCAGTTTACGGCATCACTTTGAAAGGTGACCTAGACTTTCAAAGACGTTTAGGACGACAGATAAAGTTCTCCCCTCACAACAGGAGATTATTTATTTTCACCTTTACTTCGATGTGCAGTACAAACAAGTAGCCAATTAATAAGAACCTCAACTTGTTACACGATTGAAGGTAACAAAAAGGTCACCGACAAGGGTAGACCAATTGAACAATAATCACCCAGGCTGCACTACATATCCTAACCTTAATCATCTCCAGCAATTAAACCCGTTAGTTTGACAACTGTTTATGAGTTGGAAGAAGTGACAATACCGGATAGAAGAGATAATAAATCCATAGAAAGGTTTCGAGTTTCGACAAGTAACAAACACATCCTGGTTGCAATTCAACCTTAGATGAAGTTGCATCAGTTATTTTATTAGTCAGCCCTTCCGGGACGTATATAAAAAGGGCTTGGACACAGTCCTCCGCGCGGACATAAGAGACACCAGACTCATACCGCCATTCCGTCTATCGTCACCGTTGCCTTCCCGCCATAATCGCCGTCTGTCTCGCGATGAACCTGACCTGATTGAAGGAGAGGACCGCCGATCCGGAAGCGTTCCAAAGACGACCCATACTAGGAAAGCGGAAGCCGTGACATGTAGGCAAATTTTGACCCTCTCTCTCTGTTATAAATTGAACTTAAGCTAGTTAAACTTAGACGATATTGTGACTTATACAGGCTAGATATTAGACAACTTATCAACGACCGTATATTCTTTGTCGCGATATAAAAATATTTTTGGATTATTCCCTTTTATTAGCCTTTTGATTTGTACTCGTTTGTATAGGTTTAGGTAATTAAATATGTTATTCTTATATATATGATTATGTGTCATCCTTGAGTACGACCGACACCTCGTCACGATCTCGCTCACTCTACTATTCGTTAACACATCGACCATCCCTGACAAAGAAGCGAATAAGTGAGAAAAGCTCGGCGCTCTACCCCGTCAGTTCTCACACTTTGACCATTTAGATTCGTTTGGTTGATTGGATGGTTCATTGGTATTTAATGGAACAGGGGCTTCATGGACCATGCTGCACTGATAATGTATAATGTATATCCAGATTTGATCTTGGGTCTTCAAAAGCAATAGGCTATAAACTGTCACTTTATCCTCTCGGACGATAGGCCATCTTCAAATGCACTGAAATTTGAACGTATTATTAACTTAACATTTAAACGTCAGACGTTTGAACACTTACGTTTAAATTTAAAACAAAATACTAGATAAATTAACAAATAAATAATATAATATAACAAAATATACTAAATAAACTAATACAATAACGATGTAAACAATGTAATAAAGTAAAAAATAACATTTGTGAAATAAAATAAAAATTAAATAAATGCCACTAAGTACAAGGGAAGGTGCGGGCTAAGAATTTTTGTGTTTTAGTTTTTCTTTTATGCGGAATTTCCAATGAGGAAGATAGTCCACCCGCATCTCTAGCGTTAATATAACATCCTCTAATTTTTATAGATTTAGATTTTTTCTTTGTTAGACATTCGTGTTTAACAACTCTTCAACGAAAGTGCTCGGGAGAAGAGAGCAAGATCTCGTCCCGTTATTTTAAAATTAATATCCCCGGTTTTTTTAGTTTCTTTCTCCGTGCAGTCAACTGCTTTGCAATTTACGTCTATAACAATAACTTCAATAAAGTATATTTTGAAGACATTGCTGGTATGTATAACTTGTCATCCTATCCTGCGCTGTGAGCAAACGAATTATCGTTAGCATATCGAAAGTGAAGTTAATGATAAAAGATCTTAATCCTAAAATCGATTATGAGATTGAGATCACTGATAAGAATGCAAATGGCAAGTCTCAATAAGTTATAACATCCTTTAATAAGTCATAAGCAACATAGAAGTTAATCATTGTGTGAAATCTGGAATTCATACCGATTTTTCTCCGATCAATGTCCCGTTATTATCTAAAAACGATTGAATTCCCAAAGAAACAACATTGCTGGCATAAAAAAAATGGAAAACAAATTTCAACCTCCCCTTTTGTCAAAGTAAACATTCGCCCATTTCGACACCTATTCCCACACTACAAGACAGCCGATATCGCCACTCAAGTCTCTAGTTGAGTGTGTCGAGGATTTTGAAAAAGTTGTAGCCAACCTTACCGCGGCAATTAGAAAAGCAGGAGACTGCATACTCACGCAACGGCAGCCCAACAACCACCGGTCAGTTCCCTGAAGGACCCAGGAACTGAGTGTCCTAAGGAAGCGTGTGAGGGCGCTCCGCGACGCATTCAACGATGCAGAGACGATGACCTTCGGGAAACCAGGAAACTGTAGTTCCGGAGGGCCAATGCTAAGTACAAGTACAAACTGAAAAATGCTAAAAAACTCTCATGACTCAGTTTATGTCAGGAAATCAGTGACAATAACCCGTTCAGTCTCCCCTACAAGCTAGTAGTGAGCAAAGTTAAGCGTAATATGGTCTTGGGGTCTATCAAAAGACCAGATGGTACCCTAACCTCCACACAGAAGAAATCGATTCAGGTGATGCTCCGCTCACATTTTCCATGCAATGAGCAATCCGATAATACCGAAGAACAGAGGCAGCTTCGAAGAGACGCAGAGCTGCCCGTTCTTGAGTCCGAAATGCCTGTGCTGGTAACCAACTCTGAGATAGCCCACAAAATTGGCAACAATTGGTTGGTTAGTTAGTGTTTATTGGCACAAGAGCCACATAGGCCAAGCTGCGCCATGTCAAACGATATAATTATATATACTAATACATAAACAAATATATAATGGATTATATTCAATATAAATAAATAAAATAATAAATAACAAATCCAATAACAGAAATATATAACAACACACACATATATATAAATGGATAAATAAATAAATAATCGACAGAATATATATAAATATAAGTTAATTAAATAAATAAATATGTTTATAAATATTATTCACTTTCAAAAAGTTCAATAGTTTGTCGAGATTT